TTTCCTTGGATCACTTAGGCAAATGCTGAGGCAGTAATATTCCACAGATAATCTTTCACTCTCTTCTGTCTTCATTTCGTCCGTCTCATCTTTCTCACCCGAACCACCACCCACCCATTCCCACGATTCCTGAAAGCAGGCTGAAGAGGGCCTTCCGCCCTGCCTTCCGGCATAGTCCGGAGGGACTGACCGCCCACTAGCATTACTGGCTGGTGGGAATGAAACACCCAAAAGTTTTTTTTCCATATAGAGACAATATTGATTTTTAGTTATACCAGTAGAATATTGATTCTTTAGTTATACGAGTAGAATATTGATTCATCACTTAACCCAGTAAAATATTAATTCATCCTTTAAGCCAGTTAATTCAAGTTCATTTCTTATACCAGTAAATTACCGATTAGAACCAAACATAGCCAACTTTGTTAAACCAATAAACCGATAAACTGAGTTTGTGTTCTTATCATTTCATCTAACTAAATACGCAAATTTAATTGGGCGCGTAGTCCGTCTAAATCAAGACGGGACATTACACCTCGCCTATTTCTTACTGACTTCCATAGAGCCTTCTGTTCTCCTATTTTTTCCAATACCTCTTCATTTCTAACCTCTATCCACCGTATCTTCATCATTCGCCTGTAACACCACATTTCGAACGCTTCTAACCGCCGTGCCCACCGTCCATGTTTCGCACCTTTTAAAGACGTTTTAGACCATCCGTTTTATTCTCATTCCACGCATAGGGTCAAAAACCTCCTCGATCAGTTTTTTGCCAGCAAANTCTAACTAACTACGCAAATTTAATTAGGCGCGTAGTCCGTCTAAAACAAGACGGGACATTACACCTCGCCTATTTCTTACTGACTTCCATAGAGCCTTCTGTTCTCCTATTTTTATCCAATACCTCTTCATTTCTAACCTCTATCCACCGTATCTTCATCATTCGCCTGTAACACCACATTTCGAACGCTTCTAACCGCCGTGCCCACCGTCCATGTTTCGCAACTAACTTTTTTTCCTAAAGTTTACCTTTCAAACCCTTACCCCTTTTATAATTGACTACCATTTGAATTTAGATATAAAATCCAACTGGTTTTATCCAAGTTATATGAAATAATAAGTTGTCTTTTATGATGACAATTGATTTTGATTTTATATTTACAAAAGGTGATTCATTTGTATTGTTGCATTGTCCAAAATTAAGCTCTATTCCATTGTATTGCATAACGGTAAATTAACAATATCAAAGTAAAAAGTGGCTCACCTCGTCTTGGTCTACGTGATCGGAGTACCTTATTCCACCCTTCACGGGTAGTCTGTGACTGCTATGTTCAACTCTAAATGCTTGTATAAGTTCGTAACTCCCATCGTCTCGTTGAATGGGAAAGATCGTTTCAAAAATGTAATCACATTGAGATACAGTCGACATAACCCCAAAAACTTGCTTAACAATGGCATCTTTCTTTTGTTCACCTCCACGAAACTGAACCAGTTCCTCAACCAGTTTTGGCTGAACTAATTCGCACCCCCTATAGAAAAAGTATTCGACCATTTCAAAGAATCTAGGTTTATCCGCGGTAGCCACTTTCTTAACTCTTTCGGGCATCGTCAGAAGTCCATTGCCAGAACCTGACCCAGAACCTGATTTTGAACCGCAACCGTCAGCCAAATTACGTCCGAGAAAAGTAAACCTTGAATTAGACAATACCGAGGGCACTTTCAAAACAGACTTGGTCACTATCTCTTTATTTATAGCCATTTTTGCCTGTTATTTTTTTAAATTGTATAAAAATAAATAAAGCTAAGTTAAAGTAATTGTTATAAAAATTATGCATATAAATTTTGACGTTTTCTATTACATTTTAAAAAGTACAGTTGCTGTATGCCAGCGATAGTATGATTTCTTTTAAAATAAGAAAACTGATAATCGCATTTTGACATAAGCAATATTGAAATGTTCGTGGGTTTNAGTCCGACAAGAGTTCTAACATTCTTCAAACTGAGGCTAAGAGTCTACAGTTTGTAGGAGAATTGATGACCTTTGCCAGCCTATATCCTGGTTGTTTCCCAGTCTCTGCATAACTCTGAGGCAGACAATCACTCAATTTTTTGCTTGATTAGGCTCTGCACCAATGAGTTGTTGCTGAGCACCTGATTTTACAAGGTTGTTTACAAGCTTATTTCTCTTTATACTACTAAGGCCCGGGATCCAGGGCAAGACCATCTTGGTTTCAGTTGCCAGTGTGTTGAGAACTTGGTGGCAGTTCTCCAACAACTTCAACTTCGTCGGATATCCTCTAAGAGTATCTAACGCACTTTTCCAATCACAGCTGTTGGCCAACGCTGCCTGGGCGCATCGAGTGATGACTATTTTTCGCATGTAAAATGGAGTCGCAAACCGATCCAAGGGTAGTAAGTACCCACGCCCGTTTCTGCGCTTGTAAATATCAGTTTCCCATCTCTCCGTGTTCCTTGACCCATCGGTAAACCATAGATAATCGTCACAAGGTATGGAGACTTTATCCTAGGACCTGTCCTTGACATGATGACGGATTCTGTATTTCTTGTCAATGAGAAAGGAGGTCTTGGATCATATTCTTGAAGAACTTCACTGGACTTTGTAACCGAAGTTCCTTACCTTACCGTATATCACTGCAGGTTTATCAACATTTAGGCCACTGATGGGCTTCCCTAATTAAACACACGTTATCTGACTTTTCCACACCATCCACCTAAAGGTACATCAGTACAGCCACCTCGGTGGTCGGTCACTTTACCCTTCTAGGGACCTTGCATTTTAATAATAACAACAACACTTCGAAGATACTTCAATTTTTTATCAGAGCAACCATTGTCTTTCCTTACCGCCCATTTCCGCACCACCGCTGTTTAATTTTATTAACCAAAAAAGTTTTTACCCTAAATTTGATTGATTGCTTTATCACTTAAGGACGATGTCTGTACCGTTCTACTGTTTGAGTTCAATTTCTTGCTTCGTTACAGTTTATTAAATAGAAACACGCCTGAAGCAGAATCTGGCGCAATTGTTGCCTTTCCAACGAGATGACATCAAAACTGCTCAGAAGTGTCAGTGTCACATACTCGTATGCACAATAGCGATTATCGTTTGACCTAGTATTGGACCTGCCTCAATCGATCGTGTTAAAAAACATATTAACAAACATTCCTGGCATCGAAAGCGAATATGTGTATTTATGTTTAGTCTGGGCTGTAAAAAGATCACTGACTTATGTTCGTTCGTTCGACGGATCGGCTGTCGTTTCAATTATATCATAATAACATAGATCTAATTGACGGTAAACTCTTGGGCAGCGTCGGCTATTAAGAGTGAGGCGCGAATTGGGTAAAATGGAAAAAATAAAGGAAAGCAGCGGCCCGCTCTGTAAAAACACAGGCGCGAAGTGATTCAGTGAAAATAAACTACTGTTCGTCACTTAATTTTTTTTTTTTTCAATTTTAAAAGCTCGTGGCGCTCTAATTAATTGTTTACATGTTTTAAAAATATTGCACATCTTTTAACGATCTTGTGGAAATGTTGTAAGATGTATGGTATGTTTATAAAAGAAGTTGGTGATTATCGATAGAATATGAGTTCGATAGTAATAAAAGGTGACTAAAAAATGACGGACCTTTTACAAGGTTAGCTTTTTGACTAGTTAATTTTAACTGATGACAATGTTATGAATAGATTAGAATTAGATATAGAAGGCGTTGGTGAAATCCGTTGGCCTGAAGCTGAAGACTTCTGGAGTGGATACTTTAGAATAATACATACAGGATCGGTTGAAAGTAATTCGGGGGTAGGAATTGTATTGCATGGGAAAGCAGGGTAAAGTGTAGAAAGTTATTCACAAAAAAGCGATAGGATAGTGATGGTTAAATTAAACTTGAAGCCGGTAAAAACGGTATTAGTGCAGATCTACATGCCTACATCATCTTACAGTGATGAAGACGTAGAAGCAGTTTATGCAGAGATAGAAGACGTGTTAAGTTTAGTGAAAGGGTAGGAAATTTTAATAGCTGTAGAATATTTCAATGCAGTAATAGGTGAAGGTAACGACGGTGCAGTAGCAGGTTCTTTTGGATTAGGCAGTAGAAATGATAGGGGAGATACTTTACTTTATTCAACCATCACATTAGAAGGCGCTATACGTGGAAAATGCCAGGTGATTTTGGGAGATATCAGTTAGATTAAATACTTGTTAGGCAAAGATTTGAAAATCAAGTGAAGGACTGTAGGAGTTATTCAGGAGCAGATATAGATAGCGATCATAACTTAGTAGTTATGAAGACTAATCTTAAATTGAAAATCCTAAAAAAGAGGGAAGATAGGAGACGTCTTCACTTAGGAAAGCTAAAGTGTAACGAAACGCGTAATAAGCTAGGTACAAGGACAGACGAAATACTAAAGGAGGCGGGAGAAAAAAATACTTATAATTACATAAGTTAATAATATTTCTAACCTTATTTAATGCTATTTTTATACTCAAGTGCATATTTTTCTATAATTGGTTTATTTTATCCTTACATACATTTTTTCTGTAGTAAAGGATTACCCTGTTAAGTAATTAGTGGATATAATTAATAGATAAACATATATTAAATAATATTTATTTAAACAGCCTATTGTATGAAACATCTGATGTAAATGTGTAAACTTACACGTCATTCCGATAAGATAATACATTTAATTGCATTAGAAAACGGTATAACATTACATGCTCGTCTCTTATCGCTTTCAAAATGTTAAAGGTTGATTTAAACTGTTCCGTAAATCTTCAGTGTCATGTTCGTGCAGTATCCGGTCGGACAACTTTATGTTATACCTTTCAATTTAGTGGTTACTTCTGTGTAAAATTGGTCGTATCTTAATGCTCCTAAACACTAAAAAAGTATCAATCAAATTCCTTGCTATTTAAAGGTCATCTCGAACATTTACGACTTTTTTCAGTTTTGGGGTTATTAACTGTAACGATCTAATCGATTTCGGATATCCTTGTCCCAAGGAAGTTATTGTCTACTTACTAATCTTTAAGCCTTTTATTTTTATCATTCGTGCACTGTAGCATTGAATGCAGAATTTTGTGATGTATCGCAATTAAATGTTTCTATCAAAGAATTAAAAAAAGCTTCAACAGTCAAGGACACAGAAAAAGTCCAAACAAACAATTAAGTGAAGAGCTCTTCAGAACAAAATACAATTATATATATATATATATATTCCTTATAGTTAATGGTACTATTTATTAATGACTTAGTTTTTAGGAAGAATCCGCTATGAAAATCATCACCGAAATACTTTGTCTATAATATAATAATAATTTACGGAAGATATACGGAATGGAAACGGAATGTATAATGACAATCGACCTTTATTTAACCATCAGTGTGTGAGGTACACACATTCTTAAAAGGTTTGATCACCCAAGGAGTTCTCTATTTAACCTAACTTTTTATCAAGGAAGATATTTCATTTTTTCTCATTATTTATTAACTAGAAAGCTCTTCCTTTAAACAATTTTAAACAGAATTATGCAAGTGGGTGTAAAATAAACAACATAAAGCGAGGAAATCTTTTTTTAGGTCGTTTAGACATTAAAATCAGTGGAATAACGTCAATTTCATCTAACACAGCCTTAAAAGCTGCATATGTATTGTGTAAACACAGAATTAAAAAACTACCACGGAAGGTAGTAAATGTGTATACGTTAGCTACGGTTATCGACTCCATAAAATTTTATGATAAACAAATAGACATTATTATTAATTTTAAGTATAGTATTTCTCATGTAAGAGCAATTAATCTGTGTATCTGTACATTGTTCCTTAATTGTTAATATCATTTCCCTTTATGAACTGTAACATCGTTTGTTGAGAGCGTATTTTTTAAGCGCCTTGATAGAAAATAATATCAATAAGGTATGAAAATATTAAAATAATTCGAAGTGGTCTGTATTCTGTCGAAACTGCCAGACGCGGATCGCGATTTCGATCTTTTTGGATCTCATTTTTTTATGAAAATATTGTTTAAATTTTATATGTTACTCCCTCTTACGTGATGAAAATAACATGAAATCTTACACCAGTGTCTTTTAGTCGCTTTAGTTTCATTTTGCCGGTTTTAGATTATAAAGTTAATATTTACTTCATTATTTTTTACAATAAATCTACTAACCCCTATACTTACCACAAGGAAGGGAAAGATACCCTTATCTTTCTCGGCTAGTCGCAGGTAATGGACACTACTTTATAAAATTTGTAGGTACATGTTATTTTTTTTTATTTAAACAGTTTGTGGAATTTCTTCTCTTTTTTATTGCTGTAGGTATTACCGATTGTTGAATCTTAAATAAGTTACAGTGACATACATATTTAATATGGTTCTTAAAAAAGTAATCAAAAGTAATTACAGTGTAGACAATCCAATTAAAAAAATACAGATGTTTTTATTAGGGTAGTTTAAGATAATTGTTTCTATACCTTGCTTGTTTCTGTCGTACTTGTCTTGACAATTAACTGACTACTGTAAATTAATTGAATAACATAAGTACTTAATTTTATGACTACAATAAACAATAAAACCTCGTCGAAAAAGTGCGTGTTCTTGTACGAAACGTGAATATTCTCTAGATAAAGATTTTTAGGGAGAAATTCTATTTGAATGTGAACCTTTTATCTTAGAAACTAATAACTATTCAACGGATTCTGAGGAAGATGAGATATGAGATCAACTCTTACACTTTCTATTTTTTATACAGATGTGCCGAGGCGAGAGTTGAAGAGATATTTATCAAGATGAGCGTTAAACTGAGTTAAGTAAGGTTTTACATCACGTTTATTGTCTCT